CTAGAAATGGATTATTACTGTTATATCGTATGTTTCATTCAAGATATGTTACCCGGATTGCTACTAAGTGACACAATCATAGATCTAAGAAATACAAGCCTGAAGTGTCTTATGAAGTCTGTAGGGTCCACTTGCTTATCTTCTAAGTGACAGTTGTACGTGTAGTAAGTTCTTGTAGGAACTACACAGGAGAAGGGTTAAAAGTACCCTTTATTAAACTCTTTAGAATTTACAATGCGTCAACTTGCCTACGCCTCCCTTGAGCGCCACACTACGCCTCCCTTGAGCGGTAACTGAAATAACCAGAAACTAAACTAAAATTAGAAAATAAAATATTCACAAGTAGAAATTAAGCTACAGGGCTCAGGTATTCCTTTTTCTTAAACCCACGTCGAAACTAGTGGCAGCAAAGTAAATGCTGTTATGCCACGTAAACCAGCAATAACTCCGGGAGTAAAAGATCACGCTACAGAGGTGGCGGCAATATCCTAACTCTCTCTCTAACTTTCCTTCTAAAACTCGGTATTTAAACTTTCTCTTGAAAGTAGAATTTGCATTCCTTCACGTACGCTACCAAATTTAGATATTCTGGCATTGACAATTAGGGGTATGAAGGCTTATAAGAAAGCTTAAAATTAAAACTTAACTTGTTAGTTAAAAATAAATATAAATCCCTAGAAGTCTCATAGCCGCGTGAATAATGTATGCACATTGATTGTTAAAATGAATCATACATGTCCATTTTCATGATAAATGTGCATTCATTATTGGTACAATTTTTACGTCTTCTTTTAGCTGTGCTACTATAAATCAACTACGTGTGTTTTTAGTTTAGTACGCAATTTTTCTGTACTGTATTACAAAATATTTCATTCGACATTCTTATAACGTAGCTGGAACTAAGAGCAACACTAGGAAATAAATCATAAGACACTGGTTAACATTAATTAAGGAAAATCACAAAAATGATGATTACTCGAAAAGTTACAAGTAGAATTTAATGAAACTGACTCACATTATACAACACATAGTAAAGTATAAAATAGCATGAAAATAAATAACCAGATATTTATGGTGTTAAAGAAATTAGCATATGTATAAAATGAACAAATCGAATGTGTCAGTTTGGTATAGGAAAATTACCTTCAATATGGAGTATGAACCTCTCCTATAAATAATACAACATACGCAGCGATGTGCCATGCTGTCAATTATGCAGTCTATCAGTTCCGCAGAAAGTGAGAGCCATTACTCTTGTAAAAAAGTTGCAAATGTTGCAAGTGTCTGAAGAGAAGGACTGATAGCAGCTATACGTCTTCCTAAAACGTCCCAAACGTGCTCGATAGGATTCAGGTCCGGCGATTTAACTGACAACTCCATGCGCTGAATTGTTTGCTGCTGAAGGTAATCATCCCCGGTGGGAGCCCTGTGGGGTCTAGCTCTTGTACTTTTGGTGTTGGGAATAATCCTTAGAGTTGTGATCATATTTCCATTATAGTATCTCTCGCATGAGAAGAAGTAAACCCCGTATCAAGATCCATTCGTTTTATATTTGACAGGGCAGACTAAGAACTCTTGTCACTTGTTGTAGAGCTCACAGAGGGAATGGTAAAAGATGTGCATATCGATGATGCAGTAAAAGCCGTTATTAATGTTTTTATTCAAGCAACTACACTCTCTATATCTGTGTCAACAAGAAAGTTGCCAAAATATCCATATCTTGTTTGAACCTTGAATGCTGAGACAGGCTAAAACGATAGAGAACAACCTGGGGAAGTTTTCGCGGATACCACACTTTGTCGAACTTTATTGCCTTCAAATAAGCTAAAGCAAATGCAAGAAAAGTGAGGCTCTTAGGGATTAGTGGATATCCATGTTTGTTGGGATAGCATTCTCTACGTCAAGTAGACGAGAGTGGGAAAGAGTTGGGAAAGCATGCGAAACGTATAAAGACCACTCACTTTTCTTTCTGGAAAAAGGTGGCTCTGTGATTAGCACAAAAGAAGATCTTTGTTGCTGTATCCAATGGCAGCGATTACCCGCCACTTCCTGCTAGGCCTTGCTCAGACAAAGTTCTCATTGCGTTCCGCTCATCCACCTTGGAGCCATATGATGACAATTTTACTATGCTTAAAATAAAAAGAGCGCTGTTGAAGACACATAAGTCTATTTCCGGGCCCGGATGGTGTTAACTGTGTTCAAGCATCTTTAAGTCATTGGCTGCCCTTCTCGCTTTTTACAATCGAGTGTGGAAGGAGCATACATTTCCCGTGCATGGAAGAGAGCTGTTGCCATTCGTATAGCTTAATAAGAAAGAACTGAAGATTCTCTCCAACTATAGGCCCTTCGTAACTAAAGAGTTGCGTCTGAAAATTGTTGAAAAAAAAAATGGTAATGTATGAGTCTAGAAGAGGTTGTATTAGTAGCGCTGAAGTTAAAATAGCTCGATGAACAATAGTTTCACAACAAGATCTTTGACTGTAAAACAAATTTTAAATTTAATGACAGTCTCCTTAATTGAAAGGCCTCTAAAGAATTAAATTTTTTTCAAAATCATTGCTTGGTCTTAGAACTTCCTAAAAAATCAACTGAGCTGAAAGAAAAAGAAAATAACCTGCTACAGCTAACCTTCTAAAGCATAAAGAGTGCCGCAAAATTAAGTGTACTCATTATTTTATGTAATTTCGGGGACATTTTGTGATTTTTTGCCCCTTTTATTGTAATTTTAAAACATTCTTTTAATATTTTTATGCACAGATAACTTTATTTTTTATTTTTATAAAAGTGAAACATTTATTTATACTTTAATATTTTGTTTTAATATAATGTGTTTTGTTAAAATTTTCATAGTTTACCACCTGGTAAGAACATACTCGCCCTTATGTAGAATTTACATCGTCGTCCACTAGATGGCAGCACTATATTTTATTAATTCGCAGATTTTCGATAACGCTTGAATCTTACTTAAGCGAGCAAACATTAGGTCTTGTGTACATTTCCATAAGGCTCATGGATTTCCTGATTATTCAATTTGATTAGTTCACGTAATATTGCCTTATTTCTTGTATTTATGTTTTGATTTCTCATTATTGCGTCTCCTCTATTGTATTGCCAAATTTTGTACGTTTTGCATCTAAGTAGATTTGTTAATATACTTAAGTCTTAAAATCTAGCGTACCATAAGATTCACAATTACCTCTCAATGTTCATTATTGTCTTGCTTCATATACTTCTATGTTTTCAGCGCACATCACCAGCTCGCTTGACACTTTCCAGCTGCTTCTGATATTTTCTTCTACGTCTTTTTGCGACCTCCGACACTTTAATCGTTTCTTACGTATTAATAATTTTTAAAAGAAAAAATCTGAAAGGTTTCAGATTTTAAATTACGTCCAAAGGTGCGTTTTTTTTTTTTTTTTTTTACGCTTTGTGTGTTGCCTTTATTTATTAAATATCATGTTCTTTGCACGCTTCTAAAAATGCATAAAATTAGCATGAAGTTCTGTTCAAGCAATAAAATCACAAAATAATTTTAAAAATGAGTATATCTTTAGAATTTCCGGTACACAATTCCGTGCGTTGAAGATAAAAAGGTTCCCCCCCCCGTAGAGTGTTGCCATTGCTCGCTTTTAAATCGTTGACCCCACTATAGACCCTCTTTATATATTATACATATGGATTATATAATCTCAAGAAAGTTCGCAAGTAAAAATAATCAACAAGCAGAAAAAAAAATTTCACAAATTTTTTTAGCAGTTATCAAATTTGCTTTTATAGTGAAATATGCCCAGTTATGAGTTTTGGATTGTCCGTTTTTATTTATGTTTTCTGTTAGTTGTTAAATCGTACTTTCCTAATCTGTAACTAATATTCGTTATTTTATTAAAGTTAACATTAACACATTAAGTCTATTTTCTTATATCAAACTTAAGGCCTCGCACCAAAATCATTATCAGATAAGGGGAAGGAGACTCTTTTCAGGCCATACAAATTTTGAAGGGAATCCGAAAAGTTCTGGAATGGAACAGAGGGGAACTTTGAATAAAATGTAAGTTATTAAGAAAATAAAAGGCCTTACAGTATCTCCAGATGTAACAAAACTAGTCTAAACAAGTATTTCCCTGACTCTGGTCTACATTCACCCGGCGCCAATCGGAAGGTTTATGTCAGCCAGTAGGAGAGTAGTGGTACTTTCTATGATCCACGCTGGATGCCGCGGAGAGTGATCACATTCTTATAAGGTATAGATTAAAACTTGACTTACAAGAAAAACTACACTTTTGAACCCCTCGTAATTTGTAAAAACAATTTAGAATCTCAAGAATATGAATATGAATATGAATCTTTATATGCAACTGCTGGAGATATATCCATACTCATGGATTTTATGCATCTTTATTTTATGAAGGAACATAAGGAAAATTAATTTGCCCATGAAGTGGTTAAGACCGCTGAATACTGTTAGTCTGACTGAAATCAAGCTCAGACGAACGGGTTGACTACATGACTGGTTTTCGTGTACTATTTTCCCGTGCGTAAGGTAAATTCCATTCTTTTCCCCCAAGAAAGTTCTCCACAAGGGTATCCCTCCTTTTAGGCAAATAGCTCTTGTCTGCTTTTCTTATTCAAATATCCTAACTTAAAACTTGAATCCCGATTTCACAAAAGCTTATCGTACTTATCTTGTTATTTCTTTCTTTGTTTTGTTATTTCTTTCTTTGTTTTTTTAACGTCATAACCTTAATACATCATAGCGTCATCACATTACGCAATATATTAAAAAAAATCCTAAAAGTTAGTTTAGAAAATGAGCATTTTTATTTTTGCATTTGTAACTGTAAAAAGAGAATTTTGTTAGAGAGAGAATTTTAATACACTAAAAAAGAAGATACGCTAAACACAAAACTACTGTAATATATTTTCATCTGAGCGTGATATTATTGAATGTGTTTTACTTAAATATGTTGCAGTAGTTGTCTTATATTTATCATGCTTTTCAGTTTTTCAGAGCAGAAGATGTTCTATCAGCACTAAATGAGACGAATGACGTATATCGAAACATGGCTCGGGAACTTATTGTGTTTTCGATTATTTCTGGATACCTGTTTAAAGGTGAGAACTCTCTCGTCCATTACAGTTTTCTCCGATGTCAATTAAATGTTACTTGCTGCTAAAAAAGTCCTTTCCAAGTATAAAGAAAATACCTTAAACGAAGTCGCATATCATATTCATTTCACTGGAATTTTAATTGCAAAGGGAAAATGTTGCTTCTATAGGGAAAGCATAAAGTCAGTCTCGGTGAATTAGGAGAACAAAAAAGTACATTTATCTGTACTATAGTGATTATTATATTCTAGCTGTTTAAAGCTAGCGTTGGTAGACAGCCAAGAAATACAAAAGTGCAGATGCTACAAAAACATTAATAATTGCATCTCAGAAAAAAAATAATAGCATGAGGAACTAATGACTAAACCCAGGAGGGAAAATACCTTGAGAACGCTTGCTCTACTTTTTTTTTTTTTTTTTTTTTTTTTTTTTTTTTGTGTGTGTGTGTGTGTGTGTGTGTGTGTGTGTGTACAGTAAAATTTACCGAATACGAGGATTACGTTATTAATTTACTGCGCGAACGGCAAAATCATATTCTTAAGTTAAATTTTCTGCGAGAAAAGTGTGTTAGGTGTAGTTCAAATGGAGAAAGTTTTTATAATCTAAAGAATCTTACATATTTTTAATTAAAGAGGAAAAACAGAGCAAATGTTAATTGAAAGGATTTTTATTACTGCATAATAAGTAGGTACATGGCACACCCTTTTTTTTTCTAGCTGGTGAATTATAACTGGGACAATGACAAACGCAGATTTTTAAAAGTTTCGTGGCAAGCAGCATAGAGTTTTTCAATGCAGATTCTATAAAGTATTCTCTTCTTTCTTTACTTAAAGCCCACCAGCGGCCGAGCGGTAAAATCGTTGAACACTGGTAGTTCGGTCTGAGGTTCGAATCCCGCGAACGGGCTGGCTGCATGGGCGTTTTCGTGGTTTTCCCCATGTGTAACGTGTATACGAGCCAGTTTCCCTTACCAAATCCTCCACGAAGGCATCCTTCCCCTTAGGCAGATAGCCCTAGTGTGCTTTGCCGTATTCTCAATACACATATTTTCTTCATTTAAGCCTATCTCCAATGCAAGCTCCTGTGCTTATTCATTATTTTTTTTCCCTAAATTTAACTATTCGTTTCTCTTCTTTACCAGATCTTTACCAGACCAGATGTTATTAGTTCTTCATTCAGATTATTCCTTGCTTTGCCACAAAATCTTCCATAGCAGCAAAAAATAATGGATCATGTTAATGCTTAGATCTTTGCATATGTTGCTGAATATTTCAAATGTCTTCGCTTTTACTTCCAGGAAAACATTTTTGTTATACTCTGTTCCGTTTTCGAAACCATGACAGGAGATATTCAATGCATAAAAACAAACGATTAATTGCGTGAGAAATTCTTCCGTAAACAGATGATATTTTCAGAGACGCAAATTGAGATGCAATACGAACAAATACTGTCAATTATAGTTTCTCAGTTTAACTGGAATTTGTTAAATAAAATTAATCCTAAAATTTTGCATTCGCATTGCGTGTAACATTTACTTTCATAAAGAAAGAATTAGTTTAAATAATAAAGTTATTGCCGCTGGTTTAGGACCTTGTCGCTTTTGTTGGCGCTATACCTGTATTTGGTAATCTGGAATATCGTAGTAAGTTATTTGCTGATAAAGGGCGCTTGTGAAGGTCGCTGTTCTTGACTACTGTGCTAGGAGCCCGATTCAGAACACGGAACCCGACACGCAGTGCTTAAACCTTTGAAGTTAAAACTAATGTCTGGATCCGAATGAGTTGGAGCCATGTCTTCTATGCTGCGAGTGTGGCTGCTATAGAGCCTTCTCGGGGCTTTAATAATAAGGCACTGATATTTGATAGATACCTCACACAGTGACGCAAACGAGTCCGTGAGCTTGGTTGAGACTCCGGTCTGGTGGCAAGTGTTCCGTCGTTAGCTTGTGAGCTAGAGAGTGAAATGCTGATCGATGCTGCTATGACGCAGTTTGTTGGACGGGTTGCACGAGCATCTGCTCAACGTTGCTGTAACGTAGGTGGTTGTCTGTATGGAAGAAGCAGCACCAAAGCAGCCAATCACTTTCTAAAGTCACCAGGTACGGAATCGTTTTAGATGTTGTTAGGGTTGTTGCCTTTGCTTTTGGACCTTGACGGTCGTGGCGCCATTTATATTTGGTAATCTGAACCAATTGCTCTTAATCTACGTAGTACGAAACTGTTAATGGTGATGTCCACTGATAAAGAACTTATGTAACGGACTGACTTTAGCTACTCTTCTCGTGGCCAGGTTCAGAAAGCGCAACCTTCTGGCCCTCAGCACGGTGCTTAAACCAGTCTGGCCAAAAATACTGCCTGGAACAAAACAGTTTAGATCGATGTGTTTTCTGCACGGCGAGCATGACTACTACAGAATCAGACATTTTCTATCGTTTAATATCCATTTCACTATTTTTATGCAAGCAAGTAAAATTAGATCCATAATGATTTGTATAATTATTTGAAGATAAGATACAACAATATTTACATGTCTTCTTTTTGCAATGGAAAAAGATGCGCTGCATTAAGTAATTAAGAAATTTTATACTTATTTAAACCAGAGAGAAAGTTCGATTTGTGTTTTCTCATAGTTTATATATTTTTCAACTTTTACTTTCTTAAGCTTTGATAGATGAGCTATATACTTTAATACCTAGTTGAAACAAAAATAAATGTAAGCCTCATGAGCTATTATCTTAAGATGCTGCTTTTCTATTGTTTAAGTTTACATTTATATCTTGATTTATTTATGTTTTCTATAGGTTTATCAATTCAAGTAAAGGACTCGGAGAATGACTTTCTTGATGACATATTTCTGCATTATGGTGAACACTGTGGGGACTATATACCACAAAGTGGTAAGAAAATATTTTTCTTTGCGCAATACTTTAATTTTTTTTTTCTGTAATAAGCATTTGAAGAAATTTTTAAATGTGTTTTCCACTGCGTTAAATACACAGCAAGCAAATACATTACCAGATTAGCAATATGATAACAAATATATTTAAACATTCATGAAAATATGAAAAAAAAACTTTACAAAATAACAATAACTACATTTAGAGGCGTAACCAGGGCTTAATTTCCTAAATTAGAAATGCCTGTGGAAGGCCGCGAGGAAAGAGGAACAAAAATAAATAAAATAATTAGTAAAACAGAAAACAAATAATTAATAAACTAAAATTATTAAATAATTATTAATTAAAATAGCTAAAATTAAAATTCAATAAAATGTAAAGAACTAAATAAAAATTAGAAGAGAAACTCGCCACTGTAAAACTCAGAATTAGGCAAAACAGTAAACGTCTTTTGGCGTACATTTTAAACAAAACTACATAGATTTTTGAGGAAAATTAGTTACAAGTCCCTCTTCTTCAAAAGCAAAAAGTATTCTGCTGCTTAAGCAAAGAAACGTACGAAAAGAAAGAAAAGCCCAGCGCTTTCTGACCAGAATCTCCTGCCAATATAATACCACCTGTCAAACAAAATACGACAGAGAAAAAAAAAATTCTTCGCATCCGAGGATTAATTGAGAACAAATGTAAGGTCCTGAACAAGTTATTATTTTCGTCCCTCGTATTTGGTTATATCTTTCCAAAACGTCTGTCTTTCCTTCGGTAACCACTGGTGTTGGACGTGTTTGATTATCAGTGTTGGACGCGTTCAAACATATGTTCGACCACTTCCGTCACTTGCGGGAAAGAAAGATTAACTCGCTGTCATAAATTTATTTCAATTTCTGATTCGTAAGTCTCTGACATGCAACTTGGGGGGGGGGGATATTTCTTTAAAAGTCTCAACCTTTGTCCAAGGTTTGTTTCTGAGGGAAGGGCGGGTATGAATTCACAGTATAGATTGAATTTTAAGGTTTATTTACTACCAAAATAAAATTTGGAGTTAAAAGGAATTTCTGTTGAAAATGGGGTTCAGTTACATAAAAGAAATGCCGAAGCCCTATTATTTAGGACTCCGGTTCGCTTCGGCTAAAATTACGATTTATCTCAAAAACTGAGAAATAGTGGAGTAGCGCTTCGATGCAATTTATGCATTGGGTATAACGATGTAAAAAGTTCATTGGTGTTCAAAATTAAGAAAATTTTTACATTTAGTTGATTTTTCAAAATATAGATAAATTTTAATGAAATTTGGTATGGACATGGGTTGATGTAAATCACAATAAATTACATTGTGTAACCTTCATGCTACATACGCAGGATCACGCGTAAGGCTTATCAGCAGGAAGATTTAAAACAGAGGTTGAAAGATTGAGCCAAAAACGAAAAGGGGCTAATAGGGAGGATGCTACAGCTCTGATAACGTGACTACTAAAAAATTAGGCAGCTTATAAGTCCCTGTGGCAGTCAGCCCATTCCTGAAGTAGCGCAGTTTTCAGGTCATAGACGTTTCTGGAAAGGAGAAGGAGGTTGCAATTGCCCTCCCAAATTCACCCTAGACGAGTTCTGTAGGGTTTAGATCAAGCCGACCAACCCATCCACTTTACATCTCGACTTTCCAGAAAATCATGCGTCAAATTAGTCCTATGTGAATGACGGTCCACATAAGACACATAACACTTAAAACACATAAAATGAACTGAGGGTCAACTGCACTCTTGAAAAGGCCAACATCTCTTCCATTTACTTCGCAGCAGATACACAACCTCTTTCAAAGATCTGAAGGTCTGTGCACCTATATAATACGATGCTTGCCCAGACTATTCTGCTGCCCTTTCTGGGATGGTAGAGGACAGATAGTGGGACCTTGGTTCTCTCCAAATAAAAGTGAGTCGAAAATTAGTGTCTAGGCTTAATCAGGGCTCATTTGTGAAAAGAATTGTTCCTCGCTGATTCTTGGTCCATAAACGCTGTTCTCTCCACCATGCTAAACAGTCTCATTTATGCGCAGAAATAAGTGGGATGAAAACACCAGGTCTTCTTTGTAAACAGACCTCTCTCATGAGCCCTTGTAGAAACATCAACCATAGGAACTCGGCGTCTTGTGATCGCATGGTTGTCACTGGACAGCTGAAAAACAGTTGCACTCCTTTTACGTCTTATTGAAATAGACAAATATCGATTTTCACTCGTCGTCATAGATCTCGAAAAACCTTGTATATGCCTTTCTCTCTACGGATCTAGTATCCTTAAATAGTTTCCTTAAATTGCACATGACGCTGGACGTTACATTGAAGTCTCGAGCAATCTGCACTTGAGAGTGATGTGCTTCCCATCTCCCTAAGATTCTGTACCTCATTCCATTTCTTTACTGTTTTATTGGTTACTTTAATTATAGGTTTTTAAATTTCACCGAATGTTGCCCAAATAAATAAAAATCTCGAAAGTCGGCTAGGAGTGCGAGCGAACAAAATGCAGAAAATGCCATGTGTGCTTTTAATAGTCTTTCCCCTAAGTACTTGCCAGCACGCACGAGTGGCTTGCATATTCGATATTGTAGATCTGCATTTTTTGTTTGGAAGCATAATTTCTGTTAAGTATGATTCTGGAAAGTCGCAAAAATATGTAAATTCTCTTGAATTGGATCACCAGTGTATTCCTAAGAATTTAGAATTTGCATAGATCACTATACGAAACAACAGGCGCAGGCATATAATACAAAACACACAAGGGTTATCTGGAGAAGGGAGTCTTCGTGGATGACTTTCTAAAAGAATCAGGCTCGTATTCACGTTACGCATGGGGAAAACCACAAAAAATAATCAAGCAGCTAGACGTTCGTCTGGGTTCTAACCCAGCTCCGAACTCCCAGTTACTAGTGGTCTTCCCCGCTCGGCCACTGGTGCTGTCCCTCCTCTGGAAAATGATCAGCAGTTTGAATTTAATTTAATAGACAATTGCACGAAAGATGCTCTTTCTGAAAATGAATATTTTAAACTATATCAAAGGAACATAGAAGGATTAGTAAACTCAAAAGACATTTGAACTCATTGAATAGTAAGTAGGCTATTAAGTAAATAAGCAACACTAGCAAGCATAAAACTATCAAATAAAATAAAAAGTATAGATAAAACTCATTAAATCAAAACACAATTTTGGATGTTTGTTTAGATATAATAACTTAAATTTGTTTTTGTAGCAACTCTCTGTAACTTATTTTTCCTATGTGATTATACTGTAGAAATATTAGTGAAAAAAAGAGGAAACGGAAAAAAATTTTCATGTAAGTAAAAAAGATATATAAATAGCATTAAAAATATCTTCTATTAATTACAGTAAGGGGATAAATAATAATATTATTATAGATTGGGCAGTTACAAAGCATATTAATTAAATTTATAAATTATATCAATTACATTTATAATTAAAACGTGCCATCTTTCCTTACAAATAATGTTACTGAAGTCTGAACTAGACTAGAAAACTTAATTTTGTTAGTTAGCTAGCGAACGATTATTCGTAACCAAAGTTTATACTACAGTGTTAGAAATATTTTTGTTAATTAAAGTAATGATGCAAATGTTTATAAAAACTATCATTTGAATATAAATCACATGCACACAGTGCAACAATGTACAAGGTCTAATACATAAAAATGTAGGCAATAAAAACAAATATATGAAGTGGGCTTAAAATGAAATGGTTGAATAGAAAAGTAAAAATCCCCAGATACATAACACAAGGCATGAGAATCACTTTTAGTTGTCATGCTGCTGCTGCAAACGTTCATGATTTTCAAATGTAAATTAAAAGCATTCAAACTGAATCAATAAGAGAAATGAACGAAAAAAATAAGTACTTGAATTATTAAGAAATTCGTTAATTGATTTAGATTGCTGAGTTTGCTAAGCAGTAATTGACACCATTAAGGAAATAGGGTGTTAAGCGACGTGGGAAATGAATTAAAGACATTATGCTTTTCGCAGCGACAATACTTGCCATGTTTTGTGGGTGATAAATCCACTATAATGTAAAAGTCCAATCATTTTGGAAAACTATGCTAAAGACATTTCTGTTGTTATAACATAGAGACTGTGACGAAGTTAAATTTCTTAAAATAATCAAGATAAAAAATGGGAAAGTAAATAACAACGTAAAAAGACATAGCTGTTACAACAATATTTGTATGAATTTAAAACTGCTTAACAAACTGAAATTTTAGATTTAATAAATTGAGTTTTAAAAATAAAAAAGAGAAATCATTGTATAAAATATTGCATTTGAAATAAGTTAAAATAATTATGCTAACAAAAGAAATGTGTTAATATTTGTCTAGAAAGGAAGAAATATATAAACTCTGGTAAAAACAGATATCGGCATCTTCTCTCAAATCCAATCACTGACAAGTTAATATTGACATATGTATGTTTACAGAAAACTAATCTATCAATTCTATATATGACACAACCCTGCATAGCATTAACAAGATCTTGTTTGTGATTCTTTTAGGCACTGCAAAAGTGTAACACGGACGTTAGCGTAATTCGTTTCTGCTTTAGACAAACCGATATTTATTTTCAGTGCAAAATTTCCATAAATTTGAAAGACAAAAATAACGGTTTCGAGTCTCCACCAAATACCCAATTTATTGAGATAAAATGACTTATGGTAGTAACCATACTCTTGTTAGAAGTCAAAGCTCTCATTAGTTAAGACGCCCTCTCTAAAATAACGTTGAGATTACTTATTGCGGAATGATGGAGAGAGTACTTTTACATTACATCAGTGCAAGAAAAACTATCGACGGAATATATGCATGGGATAGCCTCAGTGAGAGCACGTGATGTTATCTGAGAACTGTTTATAGCCCATCAGTACGTAATTTAATTGTATGTAATCTGAAATATATAAATATTATTATGCCATTCGTTAAAAGAAAATTAACTACTCAAATAATCAAATAAAGTTGATCAAGCGTATAGCCATTAATCTTGTGTTTCACTTTAACTCCTGTTCATTTACAAGAGTTACTGTAAAAAGGACAAAAAAAAGTCATTTGGAAGTGTTTAAAAAACTGATTTGACCAAATTTATTTTTCTGCTTAAACTGCTTGAACGTTCAGATAAATTGTGGAATATGTTTTTCTATTAATTATAATATTCGTTAGTCTTTTCTTTTCATACTTCTTTTAATTACCCTCGGATTAACAGTGATTTTGGGTCAAGCGTAAACATCATCCCTACTGTTTCCTAGTTAATAGGGAAGTGACTGTATATTAGTTTCAGACACTGTTTTCTACACGGCAGAGTCTTTTGGAAATATGATATACTCTGGAGAAATCACTGCAAATACAGATTAAATGTTAATGCACTTTTTCTATACTACGTAGGTTTGGATATTGTTTTGAATTTTTAAGTAGTCGAAGTTCTTGTCCTGATAGTCCATTTGCTATTATTTTAGCACAGGCGCCAAATATGTATGCTTAAATATAAACAATGTACAAAAATGCTTGAAATGTAGAGGAAAATATTAAATTGTAAAGTTTACTATTATATTGTTGTCTGAAATATTACCTTAAACACGGAATGCATTTGTACTAACGTCAACACATTCACGTCAACGTAGTGCTCAGGTTATATCTTAAGTTTTTAATACGTTTCCAAAGATTTGATGAATATTTTGTTGCATTTCAAACAAGAATAAGATTTAAAGTAATAAATATGTATTCATATGCAGTTATTTCCATATTTAAATTTTCTCGATCATTTTTAAATGCTTAATTTTTGCTTAGAAATTTAATTACGTATTCGAGAGGTCCAAGGTTCGAGTCCCGGCGAGGAGAGTACACATTTTTCAGGTGTCCAGCATTTAAAAAAAATGACTGTATACGCTAAATAAAATTTTATGTAATCTTGATACGCATTAATCATATTTCTCTATATCAGTATCTAGTTCAGAATTTTTTAGCAATTCTCGAACATCTCTCCTTGCTGCAGGCAATTTCGGGTGAGTGTCATTGTCCTCCATTTCAACACTAACATCAATGTTATTCTTCCCGCAGAAAATAATATCCTCTCCAGTTCTACCATAGCATTGATGATGCAACATTTTTGAATGATCAGATTATTTCTAGTTTTGTTTTGTCCCCCCCCCCGACTAGATAAGGATTTGGTACTCACCTTAGCTAACTTAGACGGCCTAGTTTTTAGCACTTTTAATTTAATTGTATGTAATCTGAAATATATAAATATATTATGCCATTCGTTAAAAGAAAATTAACTACTCAAATAATCAAATAAAGTTGATCAAACGTATAGCCATTAATCTTGTGTTTCACTTTGTAATTGGATTACGAGACAATTTTAAATTTTAATCATACATAATGATCTTTAAATTAAAAAGTTTTCGGCTTGTATGTTAAGTTTTCAATTTTGAGTAAATTTTACTGCAAAACCTTATCTTTTGGTATGCATGGATCAGCTTACAATCAGAGATATATAGTAATATTTTCTGCAAATAGTAAATCATTTTAACTTATTAGTTTGTTAGTTGTTCTTTGATTTTCTCTGGGAGTAAAGTAGAAAAAAATGCATTTCTGTGCATGGATAACATTTGATATATTCTGAGAAGTTTTTTTGTTTATTTCGCAGGTTTTCAAAAATTATTAACTGATCTTCAAATGCAACGACAAAAGGAGCACGTTGATCATGAAGAATTAGAAAGTTCTTGTTTAACAGTTCTGGAAACAACTACTACTGTTGAATTTGACAGTACTATAGATAGCGAACACCAGGATATGTTGGAAATTATGGGGATACATGTCACAAACAAAAATGAAGAGACAGAATTTAAGGGAACTGAAGCAAAGAATGAGAAAACTGTACATTCCAGACCACTGAAGCCTGGAGTAACTTCGCCATATTTAATTGAAAAAAATGAAACAATAGCTACCAAACCATCGCCTCAGTCAGAAATGGAAACAACGAATATTTCAATGTTACCTCTGAAATCGAGTCAAAAAGATTCTGAGAAAAAAACAGAATTCATATTGCAAGGCACACTGAAAAATGCAACCCTCGAAAGTTCAACAATTCCTTCATCGCTTACAGATGAAGACGCTTCGCAGCCTCTACAAGTTAATAAGGTACCAGAAATAAACACGACTTTCTCAGAAACGGAGGAGAAACCTGTGCAGAGAAGAGCTCGACGCACGCCGATACCTCATCAAGGCTATAAACCTAGGAGCTTAGCTAATGAGGTAGGGAACAATTATTTTTTTCTCATTTAATGTAACATAAACATGTACTCTGTATCTTACATAAGCCCATTATGTAAGATGCAGGGTGATTCAAAAATATCTGACAATAATGTAAAGATAGGCAGAGGGAACCCAACAAGCAGATTTTGTTATGACTTCGAGCAGTATGCTTTGCTACACAAACGCGGAGCTCGCCGACATGCATTTTATCTATGAAGTGCGGAAGAAAACGGAGTAACTGCTGAGAGAAGGTACTCGGGAATCGTTCTCTATACCTCCGTTGAATAGCTGTTCTGATTCAACCCCATGCATAAAATGAATGTCGGTGAACTCCGCTTTTAAGTAAGGACACATACCCCTTCGAAATTATTGCCGAGATTGATGATTTACGGTGACTGAACGCTTATTTACAGCTCAGCTCTGCCTTTTATTCCCCTCAACACGCCATTTTCGCACATGCATTCCATTACAAATTCTGCTAAATTTGATCCGTTTTACCTGCTTGTACATTTTACCAGATGTCTTCTTTGAATCACCGCGCGCGCGCGCGTGTGTGTGTAAAATAAAAATATGAAAGCAAACTACTAATTTTAACTTTGCAATAGCCCTTTTATTCTTTGCTTTAATTTGTGTACTTCCCCTTTCCATCTTTTACATACCGATGATGATGTAGCTAATTCGGAACTTAAAATTTCTAGAGCCGAAACCTTTCTAAAAACTTCCATACTGGATAACTGCGAACTGCTTTCTGCATCTCGGCGTAGCTAGACTGCTGCTTGCTGCTTCTCTTCTTACCGCAAAGCTATCAAAAATGTAAATTTTTTGAATCAGACACGATTAAAATGCCAACTTAATTGCGGCCGCAAATGTCAGTTGAAATAAGAATGAATATTTAATCCCCTCGGCTGCCAAGTTTGCTCTTCATTACGCATCAAAATTTACACTATCAATATTATACACACTCACAAGAAAGGTAACAACGATCATAAGCCATGAGCCATATAACATAACCTTATCACATAAATCTTACAACTTTATGGTTGCAAAGTTAAACCTAATTTGCGATTAATTTCACTATTAACTCTTTTTATTCCGACGAATTGTCGTCTTCACTACTTCACAGAAAGTCTAACTAAATTTCAGTAACAAAGTCCAGAATTGAAACTTAATTAAAATATTCATTAGTCTACACCTTGTGATTTGCGACTTAAAACTAATAAATAAAAGCCGTTGTTACTAGGATGTTTGAGGAACTCAAATATTTAAATCTGTAAAACACACATTGTAACGTTCAGGCACACCGCCTTGGTTCCGTTAGTGTATGTTTCAACCACACAAAGTTGCAAAATCCTCTCACCAATGCGCAAGATACCTAGGCAGGTGGCTTTCTGTCTCGGGGATAATAACTATACTGAGTGGTTATCACAGTAATGTCTCCAATTTACAATTTCGCTTTCTACTTAAATTAATCTGCATTCTAATGAAGGTTACCAGAAGAAGTAGGAGGTGCAAGTGAATTAACGTAAAAGTAACATAATTACATAGTTAAAACAAACCTTATAAGCTGTTTCTATGTTACCGTTGAAATATTCTGTTATTTCATAGAATGTCTAGTTATGTCATGAAATATCTGATCAAGTTAGTTAAAGCTTCTAATAAATTATAATTCCACGCTTTAACTAGTTATTTCATAAAATAACAATCGACACCCTATTGAAGTGTAAAATAGCTGACAGGATTCAACCTGCCTGTTAATATAAACTATTCTGTTGCAATATATAGTATGATTTTAAGCTCCGAATGCAATCATTTACACACAGTGTTTTGACAATTAATAATAATTTGCTAAACTTAATATGTCGATAGTACTTAACATGGATACTTCTTAATATGTAGATATTAGTTATGTTACTTAATATGCGGATATTATATGAAACTTCTGTGGGGCATACACTCTGTATCTCACTACCTGAAGCTGATAGTGGTCTAGGTGACGCCAAATCTGTTTTTGCTGTTGTCATGAAAATAACCAAAGAATGAGTTTTTTTTCCATTGGGAACAAGATACGGTCGCATAAAACTGATCGCATTTCAACGTCTGTGAAATAAAAACTAAGTAACATCGAAGAACTACAGGATATAGAGAAATCGCTCCAGTCGCTGCAGGATCTAGAAAATTTTTCTTTAAAATTCTCTAAAATTCTCTTCTTTATCTAAAATTAGATTCTCTCTCTCGTTATCTAAGCTCCCTTAATTTGCATATTTTGGAGCAGACGAAGCAGTAGAATAGCAGGAAAGATTCAATGTAAATGATATGCTAATTAAGACACACCTTACATACCGGTCGCGGACACTTAGCCGACGAGACACTTAACCGACACCAGTTAGCCGACAGGACATTTAGCCGACACGGACACTTAGCCGACATGGACACTTAGCCGACAGGGCATTTAGCCGACACGGACACTTAGCCGACAAGACATTTATCCGGCAAAGACAGTTAGCCGACAGGACATTAAGCCGACAATGAGTCTCGCTATTCCCAATGCTTTCAGATTTCTAATACTTTCACATTTCATTACTATTTTGCTCAACACATCACACTACATTCATTCCCGTATAAAGTAGTTTCGCTCCTCCCACTAATAAAATTTCCCTTTCCCTGTCAAGAAGTCATGGAGGTAAGAAAGGGAGGAGGGGCCATTCCGCGCTAGAAGTGAAGCACTGCTTTGAAGCTTGGGTCACCAGACGGGGTGTTGTTTGTTTACATTCAGAAGCTCGCTTGACAAGATTCTGATAGTATTTCGACACACGACAGTTCCATAGAAATCGAAAAAGGGACACTCTCGCATGAAAGAAACATTCATAGTCTAATGGATAATGGCAATTTGTATAGTTTACTGACATTTACGCAAAAATCACATCTTGGTTATTTTTCGATAAACTAACAACAGCGATTTTGATTATGAATTTGTTTTATAAAATTCTAAGCTGTTGCACTACAAAAAATATAGATTTTAAGAAGAAAATTGCTAAAAGAGATCTGCCAAAATTTATTTTCTAGAAGATTTGAAAAGTTTGAAACTTGATGGCTAAATGTAAATATAAAATTATGTATGTTAAAATATTTGTAATTAGGCACATAGGTCAGATTAAGTTTTTATTAAATAGAGTAACGCATGCAAGGGCTATCTGCCTAAAGAGAGAGATGCCATCGTGGAGGAATTTTGAAGAAAAACTGACCTTTGAGTGGGTATTAAAAATAATACTTATAATTTTCATTCAAATTATATTCATATATATTTTTTATGTAAAACTTTCGGGTGTATGCTAAATTAGTGTAAATTACTTTACACGAAAAATATAGTGAATGCACAGAAATTAAAGATTTGCACATGCCGGAAATGATAAATAGGAAATATGTATGGGTATTTATGCATGTGCTTGCAAAAAGCATGTATCTGCCTTTGACAAAATACTTAAATATTCATTAAATTATTTATAAATGTATTTGAAATGAAGAATTTATTCACTTATAAACAACTGTGAAAGTACTGTGAAGAAATCTAATGATTAAATGTATCTAATTTATAATGATTATAAATGTTATCTAAATATATAATAACCTTAATATTGAATTGTAAACATAAATTGAAATCCTGTTGACAAATACGTTATAAAACTATTTAAGCAAGAATTGTTCGTATTGGAAAGCAATCTGTTAAAAGGTATTGTAAAGCAAATGCTATGAGATGCGCACTTAAGAACGTAATAAAGAGTTTTGGAATATGTATTGTTGAAATGAAGGGTAAAAAAAAAAATCTGATAAGTATAATTAAAAGAATTATTCCCTTTACATTTTATAATAACTCAGTTACAAGTTTTAAATAATACTTAAAAAAAAAAAAAAAAAAAAAACTTATTTTATTCCCTTTCAGAAATGTTCAGAGAAAGTCAAATACTATTTAATTCCTAATAATTCTCTAATTTAAAATGAACCGAATAGAGCATTAATTATAAATTGACTTACATTTTTCGATTTAAAAGAAGCCAAAAAAATCATGTCATATTTAAGAAAGTATTTTAGGAAGAAGCTCTATAAATAGAAAAGAAATAATGCATAATTTTAATATTAATAATACAATAAACTTTGATCTTAATTTTTGTACCTTAACCGAATAAAATCGAATTACCTTAATTTTTTTTCTAATGTAATTAACGAAAACTTGTGAAAATATTTCATTCAAATTAAACCATTCTGAGAAAACTGTCCTGTGAAAAGTATAGCATTTAATTCCGTTCAGAATGAAATGTTTAAAAATATGTTGTTTTCACATACTTAGGACTCTGAAGTGTTGTAGAAAAAGAAAATATATACATTTATATGTATATTTGCGACGTAATTACAAAATATTTACACCCGAACGCGTCAAATCCCATAGAACTCAATGGTAAATGACCCAATGTTTTGGTCACCACGTAGGGATCGCCGGTGCTTCAGAGCAGGGTACGGAGAAACTTGTTTAGGGCGACTCCTTCTTACTTCCTACCTCCATGCAAGAAGTAGCTCTACTCCTCGCCACATTCGAACAATTTTTTTTTTTTTTAATGCTATTTACACTTTAGACATCGTATATTTATTAATTTATAGTGCTCCGGCGCGGGAATTCGGGCCTCGTGGCTTCAGGCCACCTAACAGAAATAGGTTTGGTTTCGTTTGCTTTATGTAATTAAACTGTTTCCTGTGCAAATACATTACTCTTAATTAAAATCAAAGGAGGAAAAAAAAATTATGCCACACTTAATTAGCTAAAATCTGAATGCCACACTTAATTAGCTAAAACCTGAGTAATATTCATATCGCAAACCGTGACTTTAATAAATTACATCTACAACGGTTTGTTATACAACGCTCAGATGAATTCGTATTCAATTATGCGATAATCAATGCTTCACTGAACCACCACAGCTTTAGGCTATAACTATATGGGGTGCTGATGACCTGACAATGACCCGCTGGACACCCCTCTGTTTTTACCATGGAGGTAGGAAAGGGAGAAGGGGCCATTCCGCGCTAGAAGTGAAGCACTGCTTTGAAGCTTGGGTCACCAGGCGGGGTGTTCTTTGTTTACATTCAGAAGCTCGCTTGACAAGATTCTGGTAGTATTTCGACACACGACAGTTCCATAGAAATCGAAAAAGGGACACTCTCGCATGAAAGAAACATTCATAGTGTGATGGATAATAGCAATTTGTATAGTTTACTGACATTTACGCAAAAATCACATCTTGGTTATTTTTCGATAACTAACAACAGCGATTTTGATTATGAATTTGTTTTATAAAATTCTAAGCTGTTGCACTACAAAAATATAGATTTTAAGAAAATTGCTAAAAGAGATCTGCCAAAATTTATTTTCTAGAAGATTTGAAAAGTTTGAAAAACTTGATGGCTAAATGTAAATATAAAATTATGTATGTTAAAATATTTGTAATTAGGCACATAGGTCAGATTAAGTTTTTATTAAATAGAGTAACGCATGCAAGGGCTATCTGCCTAAAGAGAGAGATGCCATCGTGGAGGAATTTTGAAGAAAAACTGACCTTTGAGTGGGTATTAAAAATAATACTTATAATTTTCATTCAAATTATATTCATATATATTTTTTATGTAAAACTTTCGGGTGTATGCTAAATTAGTGTAAATTACTTTACACGAAAAATATAGTGAATGCACAGAAATTAAAGATTTGCACATGCCGGAAATGATAAATAGGAAATATGTATGGGTATTTATGCATGTGCTTGCAAAAAGCATGTATCTGCCTTTGACAAAATACTTAAATATTCATTAAATTATTTATAAATGTATTTGAAATGAAGAATTTATTCACTTATAAACAACTGTGAAAGTACTGTGAAGAAATCTAATGATTAAATGTATCTAATTTATAATGATTATAAATGTTATCTAAATATATAATAACCTTAATATTGAATTGTAAACATAAATTGAAATCCTGTTGACAAATACGTTATAAAACTATTTAAGCAAGAATTGTTCGTATTGGAAAGCAATCTGTTAAAAGGTATTGTAAAGCAAATGCTATGAGATGCGCACTTAAGAACGTAATAAAGAGTTTTGGAATATGTATTGTTGAAATGAAGGGTAAAAAAAAAAAAAATCTGATAAGTATAATTAAAAGAATTATTCCCTTTACATTTTATAATAACTCAGTTACAAGTTTTAAATAATACTTAAAAAAAAAAAAAAAAAAAACTTATTTTATTCCCTTTCAGAAATGTTCAGAGAAAGTCAAATACTATTTAAAGTATTTCGCTAATTCCTAATAATTCTCTAATTTAAAATGAACCGAATAGAGCATTAATTATAAATTGACTTACATTTTTCGATTTAAAAGAAGCCAAAAAATCATGTCATATTTAAGAAAGTATTTTAGGAAGAAGCTCTATAAATAGAAAAGAAATAATGCATAATTTTAATATTAATAATACAATAAACTTTGATCTTAATTTTGTACCTTAACCGAATAAAATCGAATTACCTTAATTTTTTTTCTAATGTAATTAACGAAAACTTGTGAAAATATTTCATTCAAATTAAACCATTCTGAGAAAACTGTCCTGTGAAAAGTATAGCATTTAATTCCGTTCAGAATGAAATGTTGTTTAAAAATATGTTGTTTTCACATACTTAGGACTCTGAAGTGTTGTAGAAAAAAAAATATATACATTTATATGTATATTTGCGACGTAATTACAAAATATTTACACCCGAACGCGTCAAATCCCATAGAACTCAATGGTAAATGACCCAATGTTTTGGTCACCACGTAGGGATCGCCGGTGCTTCAGAGCAAGGTACGGAGAAACTTGTTTAGGGCGACTCCTTCTTACTTCCTACCTCCATGGTTTTTACCATGGAGGTAGCAGGACTTTAAAGAGAAGGGCTAACTCATAAGAGCTTTTTCCTCTGAAACAGGCATGAAGGTAGGAAGTTAGACTCCTTTCTTACCTCCATAGAAACAGGCAGTGGGGAGTGATGACGTAGCCATGATGACACTGAGCGCGGAGATGCAACTGACAACATAGAAATTAGCGGTTTCAAATCTGAAGAACCAGCGTTTAAAATGAGCTGCGTGTGAACGATAGCTATAATTTAGGGTGTATGTAATTATGGCAAAGCCAGAGGGCTATCTGCCTAAGGGGGAGGGATACCTTCGTAGAGCACTTTCTAAGGAAAACGGGCTTGTATACATGCTACTCATGGGAAAACCACGAAAACACCCATGCAGCCTGTCCGTTCACGGGATTCGAAATTAGGACCGAACTACCAGTGTTCAGCGACTCTACTCCTCGGCCGCTGCTGAGCCTAACAGAAATAGATTGCTCGTTTTACTTAATATAAAACCAGTCTCTTCCAATGAAAATTGCCTTTTTAGGCTAGACGTTTATAAATGCATTCAGGAAAATGGGCACAAAAATTTTTCCTATTACCATGTAGCTAAACCAAAAGCGAGAAAGAGAAGGAATGAAAAAGAAAAAAAAAAAGTAATGAAAAATGAAATAAAAATTTATAAATTTTTAACAGATATTGAGAAAAGTTACATTTTATTAGAAAAACATTAATATAACGTATTATATTGAAAATTAGACATCGCAACTTTCAAAACAGAGTACGTAATATTATATACAAATAATTAAGAAAAGATAATTTCTGTTTATGTTTTTACAGTGTACTAAAATATGCACCATCCAATTCCGGTAGTTAATACTCAAAATACATCCGCGCAACCCCAGCACGATCCAAATCATTTAGTAGGCGCAGTTAGAAAATAAGAGTGGAGTCGCATCAGCGACGTTTTCGATATATGAAAAAGTGAAAAATGCAGTTTTTGCGGAAGTGTATTCATTTCTGAATAAAAACAAAACCTTAAAGAATATTTTACTTCTAAATTAAACATTATGCACCAGTTTAGTGCTATAAACATTAACCTAAGTAACTATTTTAAGTGAGAGGCGTGGTCAATAAAATGTTACAGAATTTTTATCTCAAGAATTTTGCCATGAACTGCCTATTATAGAGGTCACAAATAATTTAAAACTTTCCTCGTCTTAAAAATTCTCTTTTTTTTAATTATTTTTATAACAAAATAAACTATATTTGCTAAACTAACCCTTCACCACCAATGTTTCTATAAAAAGTATAATCCAAGAATAAAAATAAGTTTTTATTGCATTATTCAGATTTTTATGGTAGGGAAAGGAAATTTCAGTAGTGGGAGGAGCGAAACGATTTTATACGGGAAAGAATGTAACATGATGTCTTGAGTAAAACAGTAATGAAACGTAAAAGTATTAGAAATCTGAAAGCATTAGGAAGAGCGACATTGGAAAATTAATATCATTAAATAAACAAGAAAAATAATTATTGATGTAAAAGTGTTCAAAGGAACCCAGTTTTTTAAATGAAGAAGCTTTACAAATCATTTTTGAAGATCCCATATTAAAGTGCATTTAAGTGACCTTCGTACTTAGCTAAAAAATTATTTTTTCCTTTCGAAAATTAATTCATATTCCCCGACGAGAAATTTCGTCGTTCGGCCAATATACACCAAACAGCACGATGCATATCAAACAATACTAAATTAACACAAGAATTAAAAGCACATATGAGATTTTTAAGAATCGAAAAATGGATTTTGCTGATAGGTTAAATAAATGGCTTAAATATTGAACTTACGGAGAAGTCGAGAAACTTCGTAATTCATAGTAAGTTTAAATAATTATTAGGTACGTGTTAGCTAAATGTCACTGTCGGCTTAGTGTTCTGACTAAATGTCTTGACAGTTAAGTGTCTCCTAGCTAAATGTCCTGTCGGCTAACAGGACATTTAACTGTCCGTGTTGACTAAATGTCCTGTCGGCTAAGTGTCCTTGTCGGCTAACTGTCCCTGTCTGCTAAATGAACTGTCGGCTAAATGTACTGTCAGCTAACTGGTGTCGGTTAAGTGGTCGGACCCTTACATACATGTATATAACATTCATATTAAAGTTTCATTTAAAACAATATTAAAACATTGATCAATAACATGTACGGTGGAAATAACATGATTTTATCAACATTTTATATTTGAGACTAAATGTAAGATCCACAGGTGTACTTAAGGGGATGTTTATGCGTTTATCTCCCCATACGCAAGCCCTTTTAGTTCCCTTTCCACTCAATACCCAAGCCCTGTTAATTTTTAATATTCAGCTATGTGATTAATTATACGAGCAAAACACTGTTGTGTTACATATTCTACAGGGAAGTCCTGTTTTGCAAGCAGAGAGATAATTTTTTTAATCGCCTAATAGAAGGTTTTTCAAAAGTAAATGCAGTCATTTTTCTGTATTAATTGTTGCAGATTTCCTTATATACTAAGCAAATATTCATTTTTCAATGTTTCATTTTTCTAGTGCTTGACACCATATGCTTTGCTTAAACAATTTTCGATTTCTGCTGATGACGCTATAACACAGGAAGAGTTTATAGAGATTTGTCCTGCCTTAGTACAACAAGCAGTCAGTGGAGTATGCAAGATCAAAACGACGGAACTGGCTGATTTTAAGACAGCTGAAGTGAGCGATGCATCAGTAAACGCTAGTTCCATCGAGAGTGATGTTACAAGCCCTTCAAAATATAGTAAGTTTCCCATATGTAAAGTAAGTCCGGAAATTTTGAGTAAAAACATTACAAGAAATGATTTAAAAGGATATTCTTATGGTTGCAATTAGTTAGGATCATTAAACTAGAATATAAAATTTACGAATATAATCAGCTCTCGAATTTCCGGGATAATACCGAAGGCGGTTAATGATTAACTCAAAAACTTAAACTGCTAATTAAAAAACATTGCAGTTAATCAGAGTGCAGTTAAAGAGAACACAGCAGAGAGACCCGTTTTAGAAATAACAGATTATAAGCTTTTATAATGAACATTTTGTGATTAACAGATTGTATAATTGGCATTTTATATAGTTTACCCACTTACAATAACCTATAAGGTATTTCTCCCGCTTTCTTGGGATGCCTTCTAGGTGTAGTGGTCTGCAGGCTCGGCGCGTATTCCAGAGGTCCGCGGTTCGATTCCCGGTGAAGGCGTTGCGAATTTTTCAATTCTCCTGCTTCCAAAAAAACACCTAATGTCTCTACAAACCTATTTTACAATAATATATTATTACTATTATATAGTTTTTTCCTGCATTTTCAAAAAAAAATTAATCAGGAATATAAACTCGGTATCCAAATCCGAAAGATCACACTATAAATAATGAAAAATAAACATAATTAGAAATGAAGAACCCAGGTTATAAATGAAATTAAAGAACAATATTTGCGAGAAAATTTAAACAATATAGAATTCGTACTCACGTAAAAAGCCAGTACGTTTTGTTTTTTAATGTACAGTGTTTATAAATTTTTGATAGTTTTCAATTAAATTATTCACTGTTGTGGATAAAAGCAATTCCAGAATTATGAGATCGACTGCTATCAGCCCACGCATTTTCTTTTTGCACTTCCTTTTTGTAGTTTTAAATCTTCTTTATGTGGTAGTAATCTGGCTGTGATAGTACTTTTTTTGTATCGTTCTGTTTTTTTTTTTTTTTTTTTTTTTTTTTTTTTTTTTTTAAAAGCTTATTTTTCAAATGGAACAGAAGCACGCCAATGTAAAATTTTTAAATTAGGCAAAGAAAAGACATGCGACCTTATTTTAAAATAAACATTTTGAATGAAACTTTTATCGATTTCGAGAGCGATCCAGTTCAAATAATAAAGGCGATTTAAGTAATTAAGACGCTGGACGATATAACAGCGAGACCCATCAGCGATAGCTATTGAAAGCTCTCTCTTGAAGTCAAGAAATCTGTCCTTTAATACGTAAATTAATCTACATATTGATGAGAGCCAGTGAAAGCAGAAGTGAATAGTAAAAGAAAAAATAATAATATAACTCGTTAACAAACATAAAACTCTACATATTAATGCGTGATGTACATTTTCCCTTCATATTTTGCACTCACTTTGAACGGATAATGTTTAATTCCACTAATCGGAATTTCATTCTGAAAGTGAAGCAGAATTTGTAAATTTTAAGACTAGCACTATTTTAGGTATAGAAATTTAGTGTGACGGATTTTTATTTCAGTTTTAGCGTTTTTAAAGTCTTGTAAAGGTATTTTAAACTTAACGATATCGCCGTAGAACACAGTAAAAAACAACCGTAAAAGGACAGATTAGGATAAAAAGTGTCAACACATGTTTTTTATTGCGTTTATTTTGATGACGACAAATATTATGAGCTCAATCAGATTTGGCGAGATTTTTAATAATCTTGTATAATTAATAGAAACCAAGCATTATATCATAATACCCGTTTTGACTTTATTTCCTGTTTTTTTTTAGGTATTACATATGCTGTAGCTGCAGATACGGTGATAACATTGTTAAGTTTTCTTGGAATTATCTTGATACCAGTTATGAATAAAGGAGTTTATAGTTACATTAGTCAACTTTTTGTTGGACTCGCATTTGGAACTATGTTAGGAGACGTTACAATTCACATTATACCCCAGGTAATAGTTTTGTACTTTACATTTTGATTACTGTACATATTGATTGTTAATATATTTTAGAAATTTTTTAATTTTTCATTTATACTCTAGTTCTGCTAATTACGCAAATGTCAAAATTGAGATATATGTTACTATTGTGTTCTGGATTACCATGTTCTCTTAAAGTTTCTCTCTAGCAGCATAAAGTTTTCGCATCACTGAAACGTCACTATTGATGCTTTCTTAAATAAATTACCACGGAGAGATTTTTAAATACACTTATTATCATTAATTAAGGAAAACTTACAAAAATGACGACTGCTCAAAAAATTACATGTAGAATTTAATTAAACTGACCCACAGTTGTACAATACATAGTAAGGTATAGAATATCATGAAATTAAATTACCATACAATTATGGTGTTACAGAAATCAGCATGTGTATGAAATGAACAAATCGAATGTATAAGTTTAGTACAGGATGAATGCCTCCGATCTCTTCTAGAAGCAATATAACACATGCAGCTATGTGCGACGCTGTCAATTATGCAGTCTGTCAGTTCCGTAGGAAATGAGAGCCATTCTTCTTGCAAAGCAGCTGTAGGCATGGCAAGGGTCTGAAGAGGAGGCTTGAGAGCATCTATACGTCTTCTTTAAAGCATCCCACACATGCTCGATAGAATTCAGGTCCGGTGATCGAGCTGGCCACTTCATGTGCTGAATTGTTTGCTGCTGAAGATAATCATCCGCGCTGTTAGCCCTATGCGGTCTAGCGTTGTCGACCTGCAGCAGGAAATTATCCCCTATTCCCCCAATCTCATATTATAATTAACAGAAAAATACTGTTATCAGTTTACCCGTATTTTCAGGCAGTTTTAGCTGAGAAGTAAGTCCATTTGGATGCTCATTAAATCAGTATCCGAAGTTATCTACTATCTGTCGAGAACACGCATAACTCCCTCTTTTTTCTGTTTTTTCCTTTCTTCACGGGGCCGTACAGTGATCGAAGCAAGTATTCATACACCATGCATAAAAAATTTAAATCAATTTAATAAACATCATGCTAATGTGCAGGTATAATTTGAATACGTTTTAAAAGATTGGAACTATAGAAAATAAGTATCGTTCTGACAGAGCATCGAAGCTAAGCAAGGGAGACGAACGATAAATTTAAAGAAAAGATTGGAATTGTAGAAAATAAGTATCGTTCTGACAAAGCATCGAAGGGAGACAAACAATAAATTTAATTTGTGTACAGTTTCTGAGACTTAACTGCCGTGGCAATACCAATTTTAAAGCAAGGCTGTCGAAACAATAGGAAAGACAAACACATTAATGATGCACTTCCATAAACGCAGCACCTTATGAATTCCACTCTTAATATGTTTAATATAGTAACTTATCTGATGATCTAGTCTACATTTCATGAATTGATGTTAAGATTATTTTTATCTCCATGTGTTAGTTCTCATGTTAGTTAAATAAGAAACTGTTATTTTTAATGCAAAAACTTTGCTAAAATGACGGCTTGTTTTAAAAATGATTGTATTTATAAAAGTTTACAAGCCGGTAATTTTAGCAAATTTTTTGCTACTGTAGTTTGATGCATAGGCTCATTTATGAGTTCTTAAAAATAATTCGATCGTATTTCTTTATTCTTTATGAATATTGACTTAAATCAACTGAAAATATTATTTCCTTATTCTTTATGAATATTGACTTAAATCAACTTAAAATATTATTTCTTTATTTTGTTTACTATAGATCAGGAATTCACAACCTTTTCCTTACATTAACCCCTTTTAAAAGAATGCTTTTCTTTACCGACTCCCTTATATTTTTCTCTATAATATATAATATAATCAGTACAAATAATTACACACACAAGCAATAGTAAAACACAATTATGGAGGTATAATAGTGGAAAAGGTGGACAGCAGGAAGCGATGTTTGGAAACCTGTACATAATTGATAGTGTTTTGAATCAGTATGGTTATTTGAACATTTAAGAAACAAATTTCGAAAGAAGTGCTAAAAAGCTATGCCTTTCTGGAAGTTTTTACTTTTAAGAAGAAAATAATCCTAATCACAAAGTTTGAATTGTGAAGAAATGGTTTCTATAGAATACAGCACACAATTTAGAAACTCCACTGTACTCACCAGCAATGAATCCAATCGCACATACGTGGCAAGAAAGGGAAAGAAAAACTTCAGAAGTGCTCAATATCAAACAAACATGACCTTCAGCACCATTTAATACGAAAATTCGGGGGGGGGAGGAGACAAGGCATTACGCTTGAATTTGGTCAATTCATTGTTTAATATAGTCAAACCATTTTGATGCAAAAGGATATTGCACAAAGTACTGAAATGTTTGCTTTGTTTTAACACGAGCGTAATGTTATGTATATGAATACTTTCTTCTATTGATTTTTTTTTATTATATGCGAACTTCATTTTTCATTTTATTGCATGTCTATGTTTATTGTGTCAAACCCATGCTGAAATAATTTTCAGTGATAACTTCGTTCATTTAAATATGAATCAGGATATTTAAATTTAAAATTCTTAATAAAATCTTAAAATGTTTCCAATCAAACTTTTTCCCCTCACTCCATGCCGTTTGTTTTTACTTACATTATAAGGTATTTCTCCCGCCTTCTTAGTATACTTTCGTACTGTAGTCGTCAGCACACTCGGTGCGTATTCGAGAGGTGCGAGGTTCAAGTCCCGGCGAGGGCATTGCTCATTTTTCATGTCTCCTGCTTCGAAATAATAACCTAATGTCTCTACAACGTTACTCTTGTACGGCAATTTGCTTTTAAGAGATTGCTTTAATAATTTTTATATATTCCGGATTACGTACAATTAAATTGCGTATTGTTGTGGATGCAGACAATTCTCAGATACTGTAACATCATCTATTCTCACAGCTGTTATTGTCGTAAATTTTTCTTTCTCTTTTTGTATCTCCCATAGACAGTTTTGCTTTATGCTGTTGTTTTGTGATTCTAGCTTTTCTATCATTCCGCAATGAGAAAACTCGATTTCTTTTTTTTTTCTTAAACACGGTTTCATTAATCCATAACTCTATTAATCGGAAGCTGACCGTGTCATTAAAAAGGAGAAAAGAATCAAAATTATCGAGAAGTACATAGATTGTTTTTCTAAGTTTGGCGTGCAACATTATAAACAAAATGATTTTAAAATTTAAAAGCAAGTTATGAAAGACACTTTGCCAAAAAAATGGCAACAGCTGTGAGAAATAACAGTTTTAATGCTGTAGTAGCATAAGATAATGTAATGTAACATCATGTTACAGAAGAAAATCTACGCGTTTTTCAATGTAATGTATCAGTCATCCATTTTAATGGAAATCTTGTTTTCATGTAATGGTGTTTGGCAGCATTATCAGCATTTGACTGATTTATTAGCATCAGTTAAAAAATGGGTAATACGATATTTATTTTAGGTATGCATTTTGACGGCAAACGTTTCATTTGTTTATTTTATTTATTTATTTTAAAATATAAGTTTTTGAACGCTAAATTTCTCGTAAAATATCATTATTTCTTCAGTGATGGTCTAGAAAATTCTGCATTTTTTTTAGGGGGGGGGCAGTATTATTGTGTCAATGTAAGGAGAACAAAATGTTACTTGCATAGGTGAAAGCTCCGCTAAAGTTTTGATAGGTTATCTAATTACGTACAGAAAATTTCTGTGACTTGTAATAATTTTAATAAGATTATTACTTTATTATTACTGTGTGCATTAATTTATATTTCCAAATATATATTCTTTTTCAGCTTTTGTTCGCAAAACGATACACAATTCTAATTTAAGTTCTTGTTTTTCAGTACTTAGGTGCACATGCTCATGAAGAAGCGAAAGAATTTTCTTGGAGTCACGCATTCCCTGAAACATCTCTATTACAAATTACCTTTATGTTTACAATATATAGTTTTGTACTTTTCTCCAACACCTTTGCGATGTTTACAAAGGATAAAAGACATGAAGTTAAGAATACTTCTTTTTATGATAAATTTTATATTAATGTAAACTTTCTTATTATTTTCTGTTTGAACTTGTTTTTGTGTCTTGGGGAAATTTTGTTTCGTTTAAGAATGTACTTTAAAAATAGAAAAACTATTTTTAGATTATTTGCAAATGCGTATTTAAGTATCTCATTCATATTCAGTAATTGGGTTTAATTCGTCGAATATAGTTACTGAATCCTGAATAATTTGTGGTTTGCTAATTAAAATGAAAGTCTATTGGATGGGGTTTATTAATATGGCAAAGCGTATTTGAGCTATCTGCTTAAAAGAAGGAAGCTTTCATGGAGGAGTTTCTAAAGAAAACTGGATCCTGTCTATGTTACACATAGATAAAACTACGAAAACGTCAATGGAGCCAAACCCGTTGACCAGAAATGAAGCTGGACCCGAACTGCTAACTTTTAGCGGTCTTCCACTTAGTCATTGATGTACTCTAATAAAGCACTCTATTTGTACTCTAATTCTAGATTTGTTTAAGCATATGGGATCTGAACACGGATCGAACTACCAGTGTTCAGCGGTTTCACTTCTCCTTTGCCAGTGGATTGTTTAATTATAGCAAAGCATACGAGAGTTGTGAGCTAAGGAAAGAGATGCCGTGGTTGAAGACTTTAAAAAAAAAATTGGCTAGTATTTACGTTACACAAAGGAAAAAACAGAACCTCTTTATAATTATTGGAAAAAGCATATGCCTCTTACAGTTGCTGTATACATGAAGTTTTGATGTACATGATTTTGTATGGTAAAAAATATAAAAGGGAAATCGGATATTGTAGGCCGGCGATCTTAAAAGGGTCAGAAATTGAAATCTATCGAACTTATGAACGTACCAACTTGCGAATCTTACGAACAAGTGTCAGAAATTGAAATCTGAAATCTTAGGATTTATTAAAAACTGGAAAATAAACAGTAACCTATCTTCAAGCCTTTAGTATTCGAATAAAGTAACTGATGTGGCGGTTATGGGATATAAGAATTATAATAGGAGTATTCCCCTTTCATTCTTATGATTATATAGTATATATGCTCCGCACAATTAAAATTCTGCGTATAACTTCCCTAAAATTCAACAGTTAACAGCCTATTGATAACCGAAGGTTTTTAACGAAAACGATGAATCGCCTAAACAAGCAAAAGCCTTAACAAATATCAAAGAAAAAAAGTCGATTAACGAGTATTTTTTGAGTAGTGTGCATTGCGTACTTAATTTTTACTCTAAAGTAAACTTAAAGGAAGAAAGTCTGTCTCTGAAATTTTGGAAGTCCTTGGGGAAGTGTAACTATATGTAAAGCGCTTGATACACCTTTGCTTGATTTTATATCATTATTTTCCTTTCAAAATCTTATTGATCAAGTTGGTATAAATACTGATAGTATAGTTTGCATTTTACTTAATCCGCAAGAAAATAAATCAGACTGATAGGTTACTTTATGAAATATCACTATTTTTATGTATGTAAAGATGATTTTAAACATTTCAAATGTTATGTATTTATATCATACCCAATATATTCTTAATTCTTTTTCTATATTTTTGGCTCAAAGGATTTGTTGGCGAGTTTTTCGACCTGTCGCTAATGTCCAAAACATTTTACACTATGCATATTTGCTGCAAATTACTGCATTCTCTCTTGCATGAGTAGTGGTGTAAGAGGTTAACACACCCAGCTAGCAGTTGGTATAACCGCAGAATTCAGTTGGTGGAATTCCGACAAATGCTCGGCTGATTTTTCATGATTCCTATTCTGAAAAGCCTAAAATCTCTAGATTGTCCCCTGAACAATCGTAGTGGACGGTAATTTATAGCACACTGGGTTTGGTCTACTATTATCTTCTGTCTCTTCAGAATTTCCGTTTAAGTTGAGAAGAATATAAGGCTAGTCCCCCATTGTGTAACTGGGAGCATGTCTCGCTAGCATTTTGTAGATCTGTACTTTGAATCCCAACGAGGGTACAAGTGATTTTTTATACGGTTTTTTTTTTCCCTCCGAAAAACCTAGTAAGCCTGTACGGTGCCTACCGAACTAAAATATATAGTAGACAATAATTCGTCACCACCTGAACTTAGTCAACCGGATGTCTTACTCAGTCGCAGTATAAGTGCGAGAGAATATAAGGTATTATCCAATTTCGCTGCACATACTGTTGAAATGCAAATAACAGCAAGTCCAGCTAGCAGCTGGTAGATACGTGGTTGGAATTCGGGAGAGTGTGCAGCTGATTTTTCAGGCTTCTTGCTCCGATAAACGTAATAAATCTCTATAGTGAGGCGTTGAACCCTACAATGTAATAAATCTCTACAGCGGCTGTCTGCAACTTAAAACTATAGTGAATAATAATCAGTTAGACCTTAGTTTAATTGACCTCTCCCCAGTCGCCTTAACCAGAGGAAATTATACGCTGTGCTGGTATAAGTGGTTAGCACGTCCAGGAAACATGATTTTTCATGTCTCTCGATTCACAACACCTTATTTCTTAAAATATTTACTGAAAACCATCAGCGTTCAACTATATCTATGCAGTTCCAACACACGTTGTATAAAGGTCAGCTGTATTTTGGGATTAGAAAAGGAAATTTGGGGTCTCTCTGCTTATCAGCTTGCTCGTTTTCTCAGCTATTCCACAGCTGCATAAAATACGCACCACTATAATTCAATTTTCATTTATGTCCTATCTGCATGTTCTGAAATATATGTTTTACTGAAACTGTATATTTCTAAAATATTTTGTCCTGAAATATTTATTTTATCGAAATGATACTGTTTATTTAATTTAAACTATGTATATTTTACTGAAATTATGTTATATATTTCTGAAATGTGCATTTAATCCGAATGTTCTGTCAAGGATGGCGGCCATAGTCACTTGAGTCCAGAAATTCCAATGGAAACTTTCAAAGCAGAGTCATCCAGTGACACCACTGTGGTAATTTATCATTTGTTCAGTTTGTAAACCATTAAAAGTTTTAGACAGAAGTTTTAACCATTTCGAAAATAATCTCACATATTTCTTTCTCTTTCTTATGATATACTACTTTAAAACGAAATTTAGGGATTCTGTTTCAAATAATATTTAGGTAGTATTTAATTTCCGATATTACGCACCCATATAAAGGTTTTTAGAATGATTCATTAGAACTATTTGCTAGAACTTATCGAGTTTATTGAATTTGCTATTAGAATTTACTGAATGTAACAGAACATGTATGGCTAAATTGCCGCTGTTTGCCCTCTTAAATGTGGCTTACGTTGTAATAATTTTTTAATTATCATTCCAATTTGAAGCAAAAAACTGTCTACTTTACGTTTTTTTTAATAACAGTAATTTCATATTTAAATTTATATTATACGTATAATAATTTTAGGCAATGCCAATTTGTGTCCAATTTCTGAGACTTACTGTCACGGCAATAAAAATTTTAAAGCAGGGCTATCGAAACAGTAGAAAAGACAGACACATTGACGATGCACTTCATAAATGCAGTACCTTAGGAGTTCCACTATTAATATGTTCAGTACAGTAACTTATCTAATGATCCAGTTTGCATTTCATGAATTAATATTAAGATTATTTTTATCTGCATGTGTTAGTTCTTATGTTATTTTTAATGCGAAAACTTCGCTAAAATGGCTGTTTATTTTAAAAATGATTGTATTTATAAACATTTATAAGACGGTAATTTTAGCAAATTTTTTGCTACTGTAGTTTGAGGCATAGGCTCATTTACGAGTTCTTAAAATAATTCCATGGTATTTCTTTATCTTTGTGAATCTTGACTTAAATTAACTGAAAATATTATCCTTATTTTGTTTAATATAGATCAGGAATTCTCAGCCTTTTTCTTGCATCAACCACCCCCTTTTAAAATAGTGCTTTTCTTTACCGACTCCCTTATATTTTTCTCTATAATATTCAACATAATCATAATACAAACAGATCCACATCAATAACTTAAAGACAACAATTAGACTAAGAATATGAATAAAAGCTTTGAAAAAAATTACATTTGTTACATTTTTATTTTATTATTTTTCTATTATTATTATTTTAATTTTAGAAGTATAAACACGTTTCTAGAAACAAAATTTAGATTCTAATTGCGCAAAAGTTGGATTTTAATTAATGTGATTACTACGCCTAATGTATTGATACAATTTTTTGTTAATCTTTGGCATAAAACTGCTTAATTCTTAAATCACCTCCCCCAGTAATAAACTGTTGAATTGACTAAACCCTTCTTCCACAAAGTATGAAGAAGAAAAGTCAATAATGTTGTTCGATAGTAACTTATATTTTGGGATGTTTCTCTGGGATGACTTTTAAATTCTAAAATTTAGGGTACCATATGTTTTGAAAAGATATATACTTGAAGACCCTTCTCCACTGAAATCAACTTTTTTTGTATCAGAATATCAGGATCAGATATATCTCAGTTCAGCAGCTTTATGAGCTTCAAATTTTTAAATCTTCATTTAAATTTTGAAAGCGACTTGTATATAAAAGTATGTTGTAAGATTCTCACTAGTGTAATTCTCAGTTACTGTAGAAAGTGACGAATCTTAAGAACTAGTTAGCGAATAATCGCTTAAGTTCGTGTAACAGGAAACAACAAGATGGAAGGGCAACTAACCCTTTATTATTCTAATAAGATTTAACAAAACTCCGTCTTGGAGTGTACAATCAAAGCCGACACTTGGGCTTGAACTTAAGAGACTAAGAATTAAACTAAAACTAAGGTTAACTAAAGAAATATAGCCGAAGCTATCAAGAATCTAATCGAGTTGGCCCCTTAACTCTATTTGACTATGAAGCTTATCAAGGGCCTGAGTACGGCCGAGCGTAATGACAGCTTTGAGAGAGAGAGTAGCCACAAGGCAGCCGCGCACAAATCAGAAACTTTGATTCTCTCTCACTCTGCAAGTAGTCATCGCGGTTTAAATACCGCTCCTCCTCATTAAGTATTCAGAAAGATTCCAAAACTACGTTCTGGCCGGAAGTAGTAAGTTGAAGTTAAGAATTTTGACAGGAAAGGAACTTTAACTTAAAATTTAACTGTCAATAAAATTAACATAATCCTTACATAGTCATCTGAGGAAGTTTTGTTTTCTTCATTCAATTGCGTTTTCTTGTGTTCCTGTGTTTTATTTTTTTATATTACACGTTTTTGCACAAAAATTTTATACGTTTAAAAAAATATTGATTTTTAAAAATAAATAATTTTTGTAATAATAGTTTTCCCTTATATTTATTTTATATGGTCTCTTCCTTACTACATGATATATAGCTTTATATCGATGAACAATTAGTTATTAATTTTACAATATTAATAACTTTATTGTTATCAATGGGATCTTCAATATACGGATTAATTGCCCGTGCATATTCGGCTATCGACATGTCAGTCGACCTCTTGATCGTCACTGACCTCTTTAAAACGATGTAGCCACCCAGGGTTTCGGTTTATGTGATTATGGCAAAGTCCCGAGGGCTATCTGCCTAAGGGGAGGGGTTGCACGTTGGGCATGGGGAAAACCACGAAAACGCCCATGCAGCCATCCCGTTCGCGGATTCCAACCTTAGACCGAACTACCAGTCATAGACACCCAGAGACTGACCCTGTTGGGAACTCTTGATACAGATTAATCAGATTTCTCAATTTCCATATCAGACACGGAATTTCTTCAGTTTCGTTTTATGCTGATAGTTTATGGTACTTGCTGGCTATCCGATACTCATCACTACATCCCCAAAAGTAGCATTCGTGACATCCGTGAGTGTTTGGCAATCCCAGAAGCTGTTCCGGATTCTTCTACAAAGCTGAAATTTTTGTTTATTTTCTTTTCTTATAATGTTAATGTTCTTCCTTTCTTTTCCCCTTTATTTTACTTCGAATGAAAGAAGGATGAGGATGACTTTTTTTTTTTTTTTATTTTATTTCAATGTCAACCACAATCCCGAGACTGACGTCCACGCTCAACAAATGGATCAGCTAAATGGAGGAATACGCGACAATGTCATGCAAGTCGTCATATCTTGTTTTCTTCAGAATTCACATAGGAACGAACACAAACTACAGATAATAACAGTCTGTTTGATGCTATTTGAATGTAATCGCCAAACAATACCCCTGGGAAATATAAAAAAGAATAATATTTCACTGCCAAAAAGTGCCTATAAATTTTTCGTTGTGTATTGGCGGGTATCAGGTAACCAGGATGTACCATAATTTCCACCGTTAGGCAATAGAAACTTAGCTTTCATTTCAAACAAGATACGGATAATCCGCAATCCGGTTAATCCACCTCAACTCCGATTATTGCTTCGCCCTCCCCAGTTAATCGTAAGCTAATTGTATCTTCTTTCATTCTACTTGTTCTTTCATTCGTTTCAAGTTTTTTAATCAATGTTGAGCTCAGAATTATATAAACTTCGTCTGTTTAAATGTGTTTCTTAATAACATTATTTTTTGTTTTAATTATACAGTCCAGTTTTCTGGAATCATGCACAATTAGAACTAAAGCTTTCTTTGGCCTTTAATTTTCTTTGCAGAGAGTTGATGAAATTTTACCAAGTGAAGACGGAGATTCTGAAAAGGACTCTGGTTTACTTTATGGTCTGTATATTTAAATTTCTGTTTCTTATTTAAAAGAAATTTAATTTGAATAAGTTAGTAAAACGTTCATGAAGTAATGATTAGGCAAGAAATTAATTCTTCAGTTCTTTCGAAGAACTGATTTGTATTTCATGTCAGCAGTTTTTATTATTATTCAGAACTGATTAATCATTGACTGAGTTACTAATTAAGCAATGAGTTTTGCTTTACTTAATTTAGTTATGGCAGCCTAGCTAGTAATTTCACTTGAGTCTCTTACTGTAAATTTAAACATTTACTGTGAGCTATTAAATCTGAAACGTCTGCAGTAAATTTCATTCTCGAATTTCTAATTGCCTTGGCGCAGAAAAACTGAGGAATAAAATTTGCCAATAAGTACTTTTCTTACAATATATACTATGTAATTCAAAATATTGGGCATTTGACAAGAAAGTAAAAGCAGCCAAACATTTAGAAGGTACAGAAATGAAAAGATTTTTCTAATGAAATGTATATGCGGAAATGGCCGTTGTAATAGCGTAGAACTCAGTTGAACGGTAGTTAAAAAAGTTCTGCTGGCGTATTTCCCGTGCGAATTCAGAGGATATTATTTTATTGCATATATGCGTGTATTTTGAGCAGTACCCAAATGCGGATCTCGTCGATATTGCATTTTATGCAGAATGTCATATAGAGTGGCACAAGAGTGAACCCGGCGGGGTTTAAACCACAATCCTCTCGATTGTGAATTACAAGCGACACCACTGTGCCGCGATGCGGGCTCGTTTTTTGTCCGGAAGGTAATCTTTTCTCTTTTCGTTCAAGTTTCGGACGTCCCACTTTCCGAAATCGTGAAGAAACAAATTTTCGTTTTCAGCGTTTTGTTTTTAGCATTCATAATCGCAGTCTCGATTCGTACTAAATTGACGATGCTACAACTTGGTATTTCGTTTTTACTTCCTATCTCGTATCGTTTTCGAGATATGGAGGCTAACTCCGCCCTTTTCCACCAGGTGGCGCTGTAAGCTATCTCATCTAGTAGCGCATATACTTAGACACCAATTTTATGAATACAGCTGCAACCGTTCGGCAGTTAAACGGGTGGTACTGGACTTCAGTGGGCACTCTGTATATTATGTGCAAGTACTTCACTCACAAATTGTTTGCAACACTATGTGAGTGATTGCTGAGAAGTGAGTCATCCAGTCGTAGAGTTTTTAAAGAATCAGTTCTGTAAGAAATTATCGCATTCCCAATGCCTGCTTTTGTGTAAAAGGTAGTACATCTAGATAGGAAACAGATTAGTGATTTGAATCCGAGCGAGGGCATTGTCTTTCTTTTCACGTTTCTTATCTCGAAAAGTTGAATCATCTCTAAAGTGGCATACAACCCCCCTCCCCCAAATGGTGAATGATAATTCGTTAATACCTAAAAATTTCCTTGACTGGGCCTTGTGCTTCTCTCTAGTGGCCCTTTAATAGAGGGATAATATTAGAAACTATAACATTTCTGCATGTTTACTATAGTGGTGTAACTTGTTAGCACATCAGCAGTTGCAAGATCTGTAGTTCAAAATTCTGACGAGATCACAGTTGAATTTTCAGGTTTCTTGTTTTGAGAAACCTAGTAATCTTTACAGTTTCACTTAATTTATTATTAGTTAATACAGTGAGGAGAGGTTAGGTATTTCGATTATTTCCGAAATTGGGAATGTTTCTTACGCGTCGCCAACTCTGAAAAATGTGCAGTAAATTTTGTTTTTATGCGTCTTCTAGTATTCAGGCTTCGCTACAAATAAATTTTACTAATTTATATATTTTCGTGAACTCCATTTCATATTAATATGAATTCTACTAAAGCGAAACTTATCTAATCGTTGAACTTGTGTATGAGAGGCAAAATAGGTTAAATGTCAAGTTTAGGTTCAGCACAGCATGTACTACCTGGTTCAAACATTATTTCTACTTTATTATTTATCTATTGTTTAGAGCTACAGAAAGCTATACTTGTACAATTGTTGAACAGCACATAGCATCCTCATAGCACTGTTGTTGTCTTGCCCATATTACATGCCAGAGCTTACTCCGAAGAGAGGTTGGACTACTATTTTTCATCCCTAATTTTGAGGAAGAGCACCCCGGGAAGATATCCGGGGGGTCTCCCACACCTCTCCTTTCCCACCAATCCACACGACAGGACTTTCGGCTCGCCGCATATTTAGAGTGCCGCCATGCCGTACCGACACTATACATTTATAAACATCCATATCTTACGCGGGATTCGAACCCGGGCCCTTCAGTACCGTAGTGGGCACCCCTAACCACTATCTGTAAATGTTTATATCTTTTATTTATGGTACCTAATTTATACTAAGGATCACGCATACCGCAATGGCATGCTTCATGTAAACTTTAACTATCATGATAACGTATATTGTATAGATGTATATATGAATGAGTGAGAGTACGTATACTTTTATTTGTTTCGGAATATCTATGTATATAAGTGTGTATATATCTGTATCTGAGTTGCTATTTATATGTATGTACATATATTTTAATTGTACTCTTCTTCAAGTGCCTTGTAGGCACATGTATATTTCTTTTTTTCATTTTATAAATGTCGTCTGCTCAGCCGGGGTTGCCCAGGCTGCGGCCTGGCAGCTCGTAGTTAACTCCCGCTGAGTTGGTAACCAATTCTTGCATGGATATATCTATGGTGGCTTGGCAAATGCGGTCGAGAGCAGGAGACTGACGTTAATTACGGAAGGGGATAGTAAACGGCTGTGTCAGGGATCATAAGGGGTGATATATTTAAAAAAAAAGTGTTTTGAGGTCTCATTCAGTATCAGAATATATCAGAATATATATCGCGCGCTGGAGAAATAAATGATGCACATGGTATCAGAATGGAGACAAATTACATAAGATACGAAAAGTTATATTTATTTGTTTATTAACATTTCATTATTACATTGTTTTCGTATAGGAATTTCCTTCCACCCTCCTCTGAGCAATACAAACAGGTACATGTAAGTCGGCTGAAAAGCACTGCTATAACAAATAATCCAACCCAATTCCAGTTGAACAGCGCTTATTAATACTAATTGTTTACGGAAAGCATCCTAGTTTTTGAAAAGCTTCGTATCATCTAACATAAAATTAATTAATTAATCATCTTAAGAATGATTTTGTGTTGAATATGGCAAAACATATGAGGGTTGGCTAGGCATGATTTCATGGAGAATTTTCTAAGGGAAATGGGCTCATATTTACATACCTTAAGATTATAAGTATTGATTAACATTTCCTATAACTACTTCTAATTGAGGCTTTCTAAGAGCAACCCCCTTAATTTTGACTCGCAGCTTTTAATTTTAGACTAAAATATGAGCATAGAATCTACCTTTAAACAATGGGATTTGTTTTTAAACAAATCCCATTATTAATATTACGTAAATATACGTATGGTAATGAACATTGTATAAATAAAGATATTTTATACCTTATTCTATATTTGGTTCCATTTATATATACCTATACATAGATATATATAATTTAAGGATTCCGTTTAAGGATTATAGTAGTAGTTAATACTACTACATATAAAACACAAAAGTGCATCAATAATGTATTTTTCAGTATTATTAACTGAAGAATATTCTGCAGTCTAGTTTGCCTCATTTTATTCATAAGACTCAAATCAAAACCAATTTAATATTTGTATGGCATTAGAAAATTAACCAAGAAGCAGTGACCACAATGTAATTGAGAAACACTTCTTAGACGTGTAGAGGTTGAAAGCCATTTGGATTAAGACTATTTTATCTTAGATACTCAGATACTTCGCATACATGGAACATAGCATTCGAAATGAAAAACTCAATATTTACTACAAATTCATTCGTGTAACAAATATCTGTCTTTCTACACCTATGGCTTTAAAAAAAGATGGTATTTATCTTACAGTTTATCGTTAAGTAATACATTTTCATTGTACAAAATTGCATTCATTCGAAGAATTCAATTTGTATTTTCCTGTGAATAAAACTGTAAGTAGAGAAGTTAGATGTTTAAACAACCCCCGCATTTTCTCAAGATCCCTAGCGAGATTGTCCGCACCTTGTCAGCTCTCCCCCTGAAAAAAGGGATTGTAAATTTATGACCTGACCGCAAATGAGGGTATTTCATATCTATACCTGGGTCGGAAGCCAACTCAGCTGTTTACTCCCCTAACCACTATACCGTCTGGGCGACTCATAGCACTGTGATAAACTTTTACTGGGTATTGGATTGGATTTATTAGATTATAGCAAAGCACGTCAGGATTATCTGCCTAGGCGGAGGATTGTCTTCGTTGAGGATTTGCTAAGAAATATTGTCTTATATTGATGTTAAGCATAGGGAAAGACTCGAAAACTCTCACGCAGCCAATCTGTTCGCCGGATTTAAACCCGAGTCACAATACCTCTCTGTAGCGACTTCATCTGCTCTGGTGAGCTCAAGCTCTCCTTTAGAATACAGAAGTCGTTTCAGATTTACTTATTTGCATGCAGCAGATTACTGTATTAATTTCTTATAAAGTTAGTTTAACAGAAGGAGAAAAGATGTTAGTACTTATAATTGAAATTGGATCCTTAAAAAGTATAACTGAGCTTTATACTCGTATTATATATTTATATTATATTCATATTTATTAATTCTATAGTTAAGCATAAAAGTGCGTAATTTCATTCTTGTCTTTGGTGCATGATATTTTAAAGGTTATTATATGATGATTTAATTTCATTTTAGGTTTTACACCAGGAGCTTTGATTATAACACTGGCAGATACTTTACATAACTTTGCTGATGGAATAGCAATTGGTGTTTCATTTACTGTATCTCCAAAAGACGGCCTGTCCGCGGCCATCGCAATTTTCTTTCATGAGCTCCCTCATGAAATAGGTAACGTCTTTTACCAACTGATCTCAGTAATTTAATTTTTTAAACTAAAAAAAAGATATCTTCATTGAATTCAGTAATAAAAATTCTTGAGCTGTTAATAATAATTTATTTATTATTTATAATTCATTGAAACTAAAGGTAATAAATAATACGAGATTCGTAATTCTGCAGGCAAATAATAATAATTCTCGAGCTAATGTTGCTAAATTAGCCAATAATATCCTCCTCACACTTCGTCAAAGAAAGTTTCGGCGAAATTTGAAAATTTTATCATTAATTCTTAGGTATGATCATTTCTGAATTATTTTAATTAAGTTGTTAAATTAAATTTCTGTAAAAGTATCGAAAACTAGCGTTTCCTCCGAAGTAAAGCATCATCCAAATCCCGCAGATAATATTTTGCAGTCACTTTGTTAATAAATACAGGGTGATCTTTTATAAAGTGACAGTGTTTCGAGCGCCCTGTAGCGCGATCTAATAGCCGAAAGGCCACCAAACTTGGTATTTAGACTAATCAAGACATGGGACATCAAGACATACAATCGTACAGTCAAATTATCAATGTTTATTTACTACATTAACTTCCCCGGTGAGAAATTAGACCACATTCAATGTGAGCACCGTTCTCAGAAATAACACCGTGCATTCTGTGCACAACGTTCTCCATAGCTGTATGTAACATATCACGAGGAATATTCCGCACTTGTCTTTGTTATGTTGTTCTTTAGAATAGACAAATTTGATACTCCACCAACATAAACTTGAAATTTCAAATAACCCCAGAGCCAAAAAATCGCATAGCCATAGGTCAGAACGAGGCGGCATGCAAAACTGGAAACCTGCGACTTATGACTCTATTATCAGTGAAGTTTTGGCGCAACAGCTGCTTTACCTTATTACTAATGTGTGGCGGAGCACCATCCTGCATAAAGATTGTCTATTGGAGACAGTTTCTTTGCTGAAGTTGTGGAATAACAAACGTTTGCAGCATTTCGTGGTGCCTTTCTGCATTTATGGTACACGTTTGGGGTCCTGTCGGAGTGATGGTCTCAAAAATGAATGCCCAATTACGAATTCGGCTATAAAATCACACCAAACAGTAACTTTTGGGGAATTTAATGGGATTTCGTGCACGGTGTGGGGTTGCTCAGAAGCCCAAATTCGGCTATTTTGTGTGTTTACGGACCCATTGAGATAAAAATGGCACTCATCTCCCCACAGAATGTGCCATGGGAAAGCATCATCAATTTCTACCCTGGCAAGAAGCGATAGAGCGAATGTCACTCGCTTATCATAATCACTTGGTTTCAGTTCGTGCAAGATGTTTATTTTGTAAGGGTAAAATCCGATAATGCGCCGCAAAACTCTCTATACCGTATAATAATTCATGTCCAATTGTCAAGCTACACCCCGGGCACTGCTAGTACCAGCAATGTTTCCCTGCGATCCTTCGACAATTGCAGTTGCCACACCAGTTATTACACCTTCTGATACTGGTTTACGTCCTCTCCCAGCGCTAATGGTCAGTGACCCCGTTTCCTTGAACTTCTTAATCATTTTCTTAAGATCATTCAGCGATGATTTTGGGTGCATGGCCTATCATTGATGAAACAATAATAGTGAACAGCTTCAAGAAAATGGGGATATCTAATGCTCTTGATGCCATATTTCCACTTATTTTTACTAATTTTATCTTCCGAAAACTGAGAGGGAAAAATTAGGCGAATAATTTAATTTTCAAAGGACACAGTCACAGTGATAATATAACAAATGAAAAGTAATCATGGATAAACTACTACTATCACAATATTATTTCTTTAAAGGAAACCTTTAGTTCAATAAGAATACACACAATTGCAACATCTAATAAGTTATCTCATTTCTACTTCTTTATAATTCGAATTTCTTTCATTCTCATTGTTGTTCTTGCAATTCCTTAGGCCTCAGATCATACATAAATAATTAGAGAAGGTGAATATGGCTGATATGGCAAAATTGCACAGTGAATGGCAGTGGTATTGTTTAACTATCATACTATTTTTTTTAGCTCAAAAATTTCACAGTGAAGAGAAAGATTCACGGGGCTTAGTGTGCAAAGTTGCCTTTGTTAGTATGACGAAAACAATCATTATGTCTGATGTACGTGTGGGTAACACGTGCATACGAAAATATCCCTAACATTAACTAGGAAAGCCGAAATCTTAGTTAAGATAGACATGTTACAATTAATAATCAAATTTAATAAGGAAAAGTAACAGTTGCCGGGTACATTATAACGGCTTAAGAAATTCAGAGCACAGTACAGATGCGAGTACACAAGTTCACATATCTCGGCGAAACAGAGACGCACACATTTGTTGAAGTAGTTCCACTTGACTGCCGGGGAAAATTCTTCTCTCCCCGTCAGCCTGTAGGTTTGCCAAACGGGTTTACTGTTTCGCCAATTGGCGCTTTTCTGTACAGTTTTTAAGTCCGTATCGCCTGTTTGGCGCTGCCGCTGCATACTCCCTCCGCAGTGTCAACGAAATGTGACATACCGATGCGGGGGTCGGATTAATCGTCCAGAACGGGTGATACAAATGTCCGAAGTTTTTTTCACACTCTTGGAAGCAACTTGAGAAGAGTCCATGGTTACAAAAGCGGGTTTCAGTCTATCTATGGAGATCGTTTGCTTAGTCCCTTTTATTTCGAGATCAAACGTTTTATCTTGTCTTTCTAGCACCTTAAATGGTCCATCATAAGGAGTTTGAAGTGGTTTTCTAACTCCGTCGTGTCGAACAAACACATATGTGGACTTGTGAAGGCGTGGATGAATGAAACATGTTCGCTGGCCGTGGCTAGAAGTCGTGGTCGGGCGGACACTGGCAAAGTGAGATTTAAATCCTCCACAAACTGTTTGGGGACGCATCAGGAGGTGTCGGATTGAAAAATTCTTCTGGGAGACGGATAGTCTTTCCATACACCAGTTCAGAAGTGGTTGCTCTAGGTCCTCTTTGAGAGCGGCGCGGAAAAACCATCAGCAGCGTTGGAAGGGCAGCCACCCAGTCACTGGTATCGTGCGCTTTTAAGGCAGCTTTCAAAGGACGGTGTAATTCCTCGATCAGTCCATTCGCCTGTGGGTGGTACGGAGACGTCCTGATCCTCTTGATCCCAATAATTGGGAAAGGGCTCGAAATAAGCCGCTTTCAAACTGTCGCCCTTGGTCGGTAGTAATAACAGTCGGACAACCAAATCGAGTAATCCAGTGGTCATAGAAAGCCTGTGCTACTGTGCGTGCTGTTATGTCTGGTAGGGTACTGCTTCGGGCCATCTAGTAAATCTATCTATCATAGTTAGACAGTAATAATTATTTTGAGAAGGAGGTAGGGGACCAACATGGTCAAGGTGGACGTGATCAAACCTCTGTGATTGGTCTGGAAACTTCATTAACGGGGGTTCTAGTATGCCTGCTTACTTTTGCTTTGCTGGCACGGAATGCACTGCCGTGCCCATTTCGCGCAATCTTTGCGGATGGAAGACCAAACAAACCGTGAACTACTAACTTTGTTGATGCGCGAATGCCGGGGTGAGACAAATTGTGCAAGGTGGCAAAAAACTTTCTCACGGAATGCCGGAGGGAATGTAAGGGCGGGCGTTACCTGTTGACACATCACAATACATCGGTAAGCTACAATTCGGTAAGGTAAGTTTTTTGAGATGTAGAACTTTTGACTCTTTAAGCAATGTTTGTAATTCTGGGTCGATTTCTTGCATTTTAGCGATTTCCTCATAGTCGATAGGGTTAGGCATGCTTATTGCTTCTATACGCGAAAGTACGTCGGCAGCGATATTTCTCGAACCTTTATATGGCGAATTTCAGTAGTGAATTGGTGAGATAAAGTCTAACTGCCTAGCCTGACGAGGTGAAACTTATCCAGACGCTGTCGGAATGCATACGTGAGCGGTTTGTGATCGGTGATTAAAGAAAAGTTCCGTGCTTCCAACATATGCTTAAAATGCTTAATAGCAGCATAAGCTGCCAATAGCTCTCGATCATACGCACTATAGTTCCTTTCCGCCTGCGCGAAAGCTTTCGTGAGAAAATGCGAGAGGCTGTAATTTCTATCAACTATTTGTGATTAGCGTTCCACGATCGCGAAGTCTGACGCATCAACCTGTAAAACCAACTGGGCATCTTCTTCGGGTGTGCCAAAAGAACAGCATTAGCGATTAGCTGTTTGCACTTTTGAAATTCACTTCGCGCTTCCTCAGACAAATTCAGGATTGTCTTATCATTTTTCTTAGCCCCTTTAAATACGAAGTTAAATGTATTTGATTCTGGGCTACGTTGGGTAAAATCGACGGTAAAAATTTAAAAATCCTAAAATCTCTGCAAATCTTTACCGTTTTAGGAAGTGGGTTAGTTAAGTATCGGTTCCACTTTGTTCGTCAGAGGCTTGGTACCATCTTTATGATTATATGGCCTAAAAAGATATTCCGGAAAAACACATTTCGAGCGTTAATTGTTCCGAAGAACGCCGAAAAACACATTTCGAAGCGTAATTGAACATCCAATTATGAAGTTTAATCTTTCTGGTAAAAACAGACGAGGTTGAGTTTATGCTCATCTTCAGTATCACTAAATATCAAAATACTCCGTGGAAGTATGCCAATTTGATGGTTCTCAAAACCTGAAAGTTTGAAATTCTTGCAGTCCTGCCGAATAAATGCCAACCTACGCTTTTACTTGCACCAGACTTTGTTTCGATGTAATCAATTTTATGCTCAACTGAATCGGATTTTAGTCTCGTACGGGAACTTAGATGATGCTTCTGTGCACGCGTTACCTTAATTTTTAGAATGCGGAACAGAGCCCAATACGAGGTAATTCGTCTTTATTAACCGATTAGCCGCGGTTTCGTTGTACAAATCGATTAAAATGACAAAATAAACCAGTTAAAAAGTCGGCTCCATTATAGGCACTGGTACATCGGCTATTAAATTGCCAAGAAATATTTTGGTCTAACTTCCTAAAGTCACAGTTAACAATTTCCATACGCA